CCGGAGCCTTAGAAATGAAGAGAGAGCCCCCAAAGCCTTTAAACACTAAACTTATAAACCCCTAAACCCTAAATCCTTAAACTTAACGAAGCTTCCGTAACTTAAACGTGGAGCCAAAATGAGGGACACTATATTAAAGGGGCGAAGTGATTGGTATAGGGTTTTGGGGCCCCCTGACCTAGACTAATTTAAACTCATTTAGAATGTGTTGATGGCGGGCCCTCCTTCTGCTCCTCAAGTGGGTTGCTAATCTTTGGCCTTGCAGGTTTGTGAGGAGAGGGCTGGTTCGAGATCATTGAACCCTGAACCCAAAATCCCCGACCCCGTCTTTTGAGAGTGGTGTTGTGACTTCCAGAGTGTCGGGAAACTCCCGCTTCCAGGGATAACTATTCTTACGATTTCGATACGATGTTGATATGATTTCAGGAACCCTTCCGATTACACTTTTCTTATGATTTTCTTATGGTTGACGATTTGGATGAGGTTTGGATACGGTTTGGATACGATTTTGTACGATTTCGATACGACTTGATACGATTTCTACACGTCTCCAGCCTCCTCCAGGACTGGCTTTGATGTGTTTGCTATGTTTTTGGTGTGGTTTTCGGACTTGCAGCCGCCTCGCGTTCCGAGCCGTGCTTTCCCACGTGGCCGTATTGAAATCGTAACCAGAACCGTATCAAAATCGTAAACGGGGAAAAACCCTGAACAACAAGAAAACCAATAGATAATCATGAAAATAACTCCTGCCGCCCATCCTGACTTTCCCAAAGTCACAAGAGCAGTGATCTAACTGATGAAATCGTCCTGAAGGTTTAAGAATTAGGTGTGTGTGTGTGTGTGGCCAGTTGAGTCTTGATTTCGTGCTGACGACGATTGTGATGGTGGTGGGACCTAGAAACAAAGAGGCTTTGGCAGGTTCAGGTATCTCGTGCGCAGGTCATTGCAGTGTTGACAGGCGCAGCTGCGTGCTCTGAGCTTTCATGCAATGAAGCGCAGAAGTTTTTAGACTTCCAGGCATTGAATAATCTATTTGACATTCGGTAGGTGGGACCCCGCACTATGCAGGACAATGCAAAGCGTTGTCTGTATGACAGCTGCGGCTCGAACTCTGCAGGGCCCTGCTGTAGTCCCGAAATACCATGCAACATCGGGCATGCCTCTAGTCTAGAGTCGAAGTGAGGAACAGAGAAGGCACGTACCCATGTCAGGGGTTCGGGGAGCTCTCGCCAGATGGACAGCAATAAGCACTAGAGGGTCGTTTGAATTTAAGGCAACGAAACAATGAAATGCTAGAAACACCGATCGCGAAAAGTAGGCTAGCCATGTAGCCTCAAGAACCAGCGCAAAGAATCCGGAGGAATGGTCTCCTCTGATTCCTGGGACAGGACTGGGTCTTAAAGCTTTGAGAGCTGAAAAGCGGTCGGGCACCAAACAGTTGCTCATCTTGTCAATTTACAACCGGCATGCGAAAGAGAGGGATGCAAAACTTAGTGGTGACGAGAAGCTACTCTGCAACCGTCTGCCGGCTTCCGGTGGTGGTAGCTTCAACGAATAAGCATCCGGAAACAAGATCCAAAGCAGTAGTATCCTTCCCCTTACTGAGCCGTACTGAAATGAAGGAGCCTCTCATGTGAAGAAACCAAACTGCCCCCACAAACACGGATCCGGGTTTGGCAATGGGGGGGCGGGTGCGGCCTTCAGGGGCGTCTACAAGTCTACCCGCCTAGCCAGCTACCCGCCAGCCACTCCACCCCATGCCACCTCCGGCGCTCTATCTCGCACGTGCATACTTACACATGCACGTTCATTGGGGTGCGCTCTCTCTCTCTCTCTCTCTCTCTCTTTCGCGCACATGCATACATATAAACAGCGTGTGTTACATGTTGATGTCTGCATGTGTATATGCGTTTTTGCTTTCATCTACCTACCGACCTACCTACCTTCCCTACCTATATTAATATGCCTGCCTGCCTGCCTACCTACCTACCTACCTAGCAATCTGTCAATCAGTCCACCAACCCGTCAGTCAGTCAATCAATCAATCAATCAATCAATAAACCTGTCAATCAGTCAGTCAGTCAATCAATCAATCAGTCAAGCAACCTGTCAGCCAATCAATCTATCTATCAATCAATCAATAAAGCAAGCTACTCGTCTATCTAGTTATCCATCTATCTGTCTCTAATCATCCGCGCCTTTGCCGCAGCCGGGGTCTGCTGCTCCTCGACACGGTCGTAGAACTCCTATGTCACAGCAAGTCAAGATGCTTGCTTGAAGTCGACCAGGGATCCTGAATGTGTGTTAGAGTATCTGGCCCTAAACCCTAAAATCTTAAACCCCGAAACCCTTACCCTAAACCCTGGCTCAATCAAGGGCATCTTCGGCCCGCGGGTTGAATCGCTTGAGTTTCTGCTTGGGACCTCAAAGTTAGAACTGCCATCCTCAAAAGGCTTGCCGCCAACGGATTTGATAGGCCCACAGAGGAGGGCTTAGAGCTTTAAGGTTTAGGGTTTAGGGTTTAAGGTTTTGGGTTTAGGGTTGAGGGTTTAAGGTTTAGGGCCCACAGGGGAGGGCTTATTTCGGTTCAAGGCTTTCGCGTTTCGCAAGACTTTGCCTCTCCAAACACCCCAGGTATCAGAAACCCTAAGCCCTAAATCCTGAACCCTAAATCCCTAAGGCTTCAAAGCCCCAATCTAAACCCGAAATCCCTAAAGGCGTTTGATCCTAAACTCTACCGTTTCAATCCCAACAGCTTGAACATCCTACACTTTAAATAAGACCCTAAATCCCTCAAGATTAAAAACCCTAAAACTCTAAACCCTAAGGCCCTATACCCGTGACTCCCCAAACCTCTCTCCTGCGTCCGAGAGCCCACCTGCAGGGACGACTGGCGCTGTGAGTCTCGGGGAGGAATAGGACTCCAGAATTCCCAGTGACCCCTTGGCAGGTTTTGAAAGGGTTCTACCTAAACCCTAAACCCTAAACCCGAGCTCAGGGTTTAGAGCTCAGGGTTTTGGGTCGTATTTGAAGTCAACGGCCAGGATTTGAGGCTCCAAAATTAGGATAGTCAGTTCCACCTCACGGCATGGCATGACGACTAAGCCCTAACCCATAAGCCCTAAAGTCTAAGCCCTAAATCCTCAAGCCTCAACCCTAGACCGTAAACCTTAAATCCTAGACCCTGAACGCCAGTTCAGCTTTTTGTGGCTCCGGGACATGCTCAACAGCGCAGCCCTAACCTCAAACCAACACTCGCACAAGAAACTCCAGGGTTCCAGGTGCTTGAAATCAAGTCTAGGGTTTACGGGTTTAGGGTTTAGGGCTCTAGGGTTTACGGGTTTAGGGTTTAGGGCTCTAGGGTTTCGGGGTTTAGGGTTTAGGGCTCTAGGGTTTGGAGGTTTAGGCTTTAGGGTTGAAGCCTATGAGAGTAGAGAGTTCGTTCAAAGGGCTCCGAAGGTGGGATCAGGGTAGGTGGTGCAGGCCTAAACCAGAGTCCCACTGTAAGGAATCTTTAATCCTACCTCATCCCACTTTTGAGGTCCCTGATGTTTTGGGGTTTGACTAAATCTCAACAATCCGCAAGATCTGAACCGTCGGGTTTTGTGGGCTTAGGGCTCCAGCCTGTAACATCTGCGGCGGAGGCTCTCCGAAAAAGTGGATCATGCCTTTGAGGATACCGTCCTGTCATCTCTTTGAAGTTCAGGGTAAGGGTTTAGGATGGTTTAGGGTTTGGGTGGCGCATGTCGCGATTTCTAGGCTTCTGCTACTTCGGTCCAGAATGCACCCCCAAAAGGCCAAGGGATATCATTCAAATTTGGAGTCGAAGACAGCACCTAGAACTCGCTGGGCCGGAAAGCACTCACAGGATCCCAAAACCAAAGGCACACCAAAAAACAACAAACCCAGAAAACACCTTAAATTAAACCCTAAACCCAACTTGTACCCCTCAATCCCTAAACCCTGGAACCTAAACCCTTAACATCCCCGCACCACGCATGAAACTACAAGGAACCAGGAAGCCGTCACATCTTCGCTAAGCTACATCAGGGTAAGGCAAGGATTCAGAGGGTTCAAGTGCTGGCGGCCTGTGCAGAAACCTTAGGCTTGTAGTACACCTTACAAAATTTTAAAAATTAGAAACGGGCTTTGGGGTAATTACACAGTATCATGAGTACTCATTCAGGCTTCTACTGTGTTTTGGGACAGGTCGGGAAGTCAAGAGGCCCAACGTCCTTGTCGCAGGAGTGCGGGAAAAGAGGGAGGCCTGGCGCACGTCGGGAGTCCGGTCCCTAAAGGCCGGGATTATGGGGTTTAGGGTTTTGGGTTTTGGGTTGAGGGGTTATGGGGTTCAGGGTTTTAGGGCTCCTAGAATCCGACAAACCTTATACCCCAGAGACTCTAGGGCTTGAACCCTCAACCCCAATTGCAAACAGGGCCCCCGCCCACCACGCCTACGAAGAGCTCCGCGCAGATGCACCCGAGGCTCCACATGTCCTCAGCATGCACGGCTTGTTCGCGACTTTGTGATACTTTGAAGCTTAGGCTTTCGTTGTTCAGGAGTGCAGGGCTTCGTTCGGTTTTTTTTCGGATTTGGTGCCCTTTAGGGCCATAGGATCTGGGGTGTAGACTGCTGGTGGCCTTGTAGGGTCGGTCGCAAATTTGAGTCAGGAGGCGGCTGCGCAGCCGACCGGCGATCCAAGCAAGACCTGGCCAAAACTAGACTAGTGTAGAGTCTTGACTGATTAGATTAGGGTCTTATCAGCTTTCGATAGGGTGCGCCTGCCGGCCCGGAGGTGGCCGCAAATGCAAGAGATGCTAGGGTTTTTGTGGGAATAACAAGTTGGAGATATAGTACAGGGGCCATACGTATTGACTGTGGTAATCCTGAGATCGACGCCTGAAGCTTCAATACTCGAAGTCGCAGATCCCTGAACCGAAGAACCTGGGCGCTGTTTATCGGGCTGTTTCCAACCAAAATCCTGAAACCTGGAAACTGCCTCTGGCGCTCGGTAGGGCAGTGTCTGGACAGTGACGTCCTGGTTGTCTCGGCTTTCGGGTGTCAAGGCTTCGGGGTGCTTCGGGGTTTCAACGGCTGGAAGGGTTCAGGGTCTGAAGACTAGACACAGAGCCCTTTCATTCGAACGCTAAGCGGATGTTCTTGCCAAGTATTCAGACCTCTATCTTGGGGTCTGAAGGTTTCGAAAGAAGGAGTTAAGCTTGTGGGCCTTCCGCCTCAGCCCTTGGAGTGTAGCGCTGAAGAAATCATGCGGCTTCGTATGTAGGTAATAAGTCGAAAAGCTGAAGCTTCTGACCCCTGGCAAAGTTAGAATCCTTGATGGAACCCACATAGAACCCCTATATAAACACACACCCAATACAAACCTTGCCAGAACCCTATCCATTTGCCGGGCTCTGCTCGTCCTCCGCGAGCCACTCACCCTGGTTGGCCCCACCGAAGTCGATCAACTCGCCGCAGGCTGTTGTTCTTTGAAGCTTCGGGCTCAGAGTTGTTCACAGCAAGGTTTGACTCGTAGAGCGAAGGGCCCAGCATTAAAAACTTTGGTTTTCAGTGCTTAAGGCTCAGGGATTTAGGTTCCAACTCGAGAATTTCTCGGAAAAAAACAAGAACTGCAACCACCCAACTGCCTGGACTCACCCAACCTGGAGACCTACCTTCAGAAGCCTGAAGATGTACAGCCAAAGCCCCCGCAACCTTTGAACCCTCAATCCCCCAAGCATACGACCTACCTCGTCAGGTCTTCATCTAGACAAGGCGGCCGATGTAGGACATCCCAGAACTGATGAACACATCAAGGGTCCCAAAACCCACTAAAACCATCGAATTCTCGCACGAAATGCGAAATAACCCCCGAACAATCACATCAAAAGATCAGAAACCCCACCCAAAATGTGTATGTGTGTATATATATATACACACACACATACGTAAAAGAGACAAAGAGAGAGATGGAGGTTTTAAAAAAAGAAAACAAGACTCACCCTCTTCCTACCTTTCCCCAGAAAGGAGGCCTTGAAATGAGGTACCCTGTCGCCCAGCAGAGAAGGCCAAGCCACGCCCTCCAGCAGCACATTCTCCTAGGGTTTAGGCCAGTTTAGGGTTTAAGGCTCAAGGTGTCAGGGCAAAGTAGTCTTAGGGGTTCAGGGTTGTAGAGCTTTCGGGTTGTCGGGCTTATATGAGCTTGGGACCTTGGGGTGCGGGACTTCGGGCCGAAGACTTTGGGCTTCGGGTCTAAGGTGTTCGGGCTTGGGATTCTGGTGTTTGGAGGGGTGTTTTTTGTTCTGGTACGGTCAATTTACCTAGCGGTCTTAGGGTTCGGGTTTCGGATCGATGAGTTTTTGGAGGGGGAGGGTGAAGGCTTGGATAATTTTGTTTGGATGGCAGGTTCAGGGGCTTGCTATACACGGTGCAGGGAAGCAGTGTGGCTTTGTCTCAGGGCAAACAGCGGTCAGGACATCCAACAAAGAGGTCGGACAAGTAACATGGATAGAATGGGGCTGAGAACTCCATTCCCAGCTGAGGACAAGCATAAAGCGGTCTTCCAAGAAAACAGAGCTCCGAAAATCAAGAGCAACAACACATACACCAGAGCTGTACAGAAATCCTGCTGGGTTTCAGTGACCCTTCCGGGTTTCTATCGGGGTACTTTTCAGGATTCAGGGATTCACGCTCAGAATCTGCTCAGACAGCCCATCTAAAAACCAACTACTCGTCGAGAATAGCACAGGATGTAATCTGTCGAGTGCTCCAAAACAAAGACAAGGACTTAGGGATGGAGCGTCTAGGGCTTCGGGTTTAGAAACCCCCCGGGAACTTGTGGTTTCGAAGGTGCTGGCTTCAAATCTCCGTGGATGATGGGCACGTTCTGGAGATATTCCAAAGCTGACCTTGGGCAACCGAGTCAAACGACTGGAAGGAAGTAACGGTGTGCAACAGTGACCTCTGACAATACCCGGAGCCGTGCTTTTCGATAGTATAAGTGAAAGTTGCCGCAACAGGCCAGGCAAGCCGAAAACACCAGGAATAGGACGGGCTGGAGTCACGAATACCCGTGTCGATCATTGTGGAAAAATCGCGCTAGCCAGTCGGCAATGCTTCTAGTGCAGACAACTGCAGAGAAGGAGAAGCAGGAGCAACAGCAGCAGCAACATCAGACTCCAGACACAACTGACAAACACCACCGACAAATACCACAACAACAACAACAAACAACCTAAAGCCCAAACCCCAAACCCTAGTCAAACAAAACACAGCATGCAGGCTTTGTCTTTGCATCCAGCACACAGAAGCTGCGCCGTTGCGGCTCGGACGGTCGTCAAGGGAAGACCTCTTAGATCACCTCGAACCAAGAGCCTCAATGGTGAGATGAAGGCGGGGTTTAGGGGTTTGGGGTTTAGCGGTTTAGGGTTTTGGGGGTTTAGGGTTTAGGGGTTTAGGGGTTTAGGGTTTAGGGGTTTAGGGGTTTAGGGGTTTAGGGTGTAGACTCAACACAAGTGCTAACACTCGAAACCTGGAAACTAAACTTTAAGTTCTAAGGACTCAAACGTAGTGCTCGACTCTACTGCAACTCTAGCAGTGGACCTCAGACAGTCTGCTGTCCTACAGCTTCTGCAGGATGCTGCAGATTGAAAGTTTGTATGTCCCCATAGCTATTATACAGTCCTGGATTCAACAACACAAACCCGGCGATGCCAAGCTCTGAGCACTGCCGGTTGTGTGCAGATTAGGCTGGGATGTAGTCTCGAGACGGCTTCAACCTGACCTAACTGGATTTATGTAGGGCTTCGTAGCTCGGAACCCCTATCTCAGAGTACCCCACGCCCTAAAGCCTCTAATCCTAAACCCAGATCGTTGCTGTTTGCATGAAGACTAAACCATCGACGACCCAGCGTCAGAACCCCAAAAGAGCCCTGATAAGCCGTTGCTGAACCTTCAAACAAGCCTGAAACACAGCCTATGTCATCAACCGTCGTGTTTCGGTGTTGGTGTTCATGCCTGCAGTCTCTTGATCTAAATGAGGATCCCTTACGCAGGTTTAGGGTTTAAGGTTAGGTTTTGGGACTCGGGCGTAGGGTGTAGGATTCAAGGGCTCGAAGCGGGCTTTGGGCTTCGGCTTTGGGATTCAGAATGTGGAAAAATGGGCGAACAGCCTACAGGGAACTGTCTTTCGGCAAAGCATCGAAACATCCCTTTAAGGCTTAAATCTTGTTAAGCCAACTCCCTAAACCCTGAAATCCCAAGAGCCTGAATTCTTGATCCTAAGTCCTAAGTCCCGGAACCTTACTGTATAGGGCAGCATAGGGCTCTGCGGGTGTATTGTTACAACACTGATTTTTCAGGCTTCTATACTCTACTCCCATTAGAGAGTAAGCAAAACAAAGGTTGGAGATCCTCTAGAGGACGCCACGATGCCAAAAAAGCAAGGAAGTGCGCACCCCAAACCCAAACCCCTTGACCCCAAAAACCCGAAAGCGCTAGAACCCTTCACGACAAAACCCTGAACCCCAAAGCCCAAAGCCC